TATTCCGGGAATCAGCTTAGTTGCCGTTCTCTGAACCTTTTCCAGAAGCTCACTGTCTTTTTTTAGACAGGGGATGGCCGCTTGTATGCAGTACTCAAGTTTAGGACGTACGAACACTATACAAAGTCAAAAACGTTTTAGCGTCGACATGACTAAAAGCTCTACGTATTGACCATAACGTTCTAAAACCTTTGGCGGCTATTGCACGGCAGTGTGCAGTAGTCTTTAAGTCTTGACTAACGATGACTCCTAAGTCACTATATGTCTGGACGACAGGTAGCTCAGTGTTATTCATCGTGTATGTATCTGTGCGTTGATGACCTATATGCATCACAACACACTTGGAAGTATTTATCGGCAACTGCCATGTTTGAGACCATTCAGATAACTTCTTCAGGTCATTTTGAAGTTCTAAGCTATCACTCTTACATCGTATCGTTCTCCATATCTCGACATCGACAGCATATAGCAAGACCGATGATGATAGGAGACGAGGAAGGTCATTCACATACAAGAGGAATAGCACTGGCCCCAAAACTGTACTCTGGGGCACTCCATTAAGCATAGTTCCCCAGCTAGATAACTGAGTTCACCCGTACTCTTTGTTGGCACCCAACTAGGAAGTCTTTTATCCAAATCAATAGATTGCCTCCAATCCCGACATTTCTTAGCTTATATAACAGCCGGTTGTGCGGAACCTTGTCAAAAGCTTTGCTGAAATCAATGAAGGCTACGTCTACAGGTGACTTTTGGTCCTTAAGAGCGCACCAGCTTTCACGAGCCACTAATAAGTTAGTGAGACAAGAGTAACCTATTTTGAAACCGTGCTGCTTCTCCGAAGGGATCCGGTTTTTATCGAGATACTTAAACAGCTCCTTCCGAATAATCTTTTCTAAGATTTTAACAACCACACTAGTTAGGCTAACGGGGAGGTAGTTCTCAGGTTTGTGTTTCGTGCCTGTTTTGAAGACAGGACTTACTATGGCGTTTTTCCAATCTTTCGGTAAGCGACCCTGTGTAACGGATAGGTTAAAGCATGTACTTAAAGGGTTCGCAACGAAGTTAGATAATTCCTTCAGTAGCCTAGGATGTAATTCATCGGGCCCCGTGGATTTACCTATGTCAAGCTTATTTTGTAGACCAAAGACATCGAGTTCTTTAATGGTCACACTATCCAGTGTATGTGTGGGGGGATCTGTATGCGCTGATGGGAAGGGTGCTTCTATGGTGTATACATTGCTAAAGTAGTTTGAGAACACTTGAGCCTTACCAAAGTCGTCCTCTACTAGTGACGCGGCAGTACTGTCTCCCCATAGAGCAGGAATATTTCCTTATCTCTTTGTACTTTGGTTTATATAAGAATACAAGCGTTTAGGACATTCTATGGGTTCCTTAACAATCTTTTCTTCGTACAACTTTCTAGACTTACGGAGGGTCGAGGCACAGGTATTCCGGACTTTCTATACTGGGATTTAGTTTCATCAGATCCCAGTAACCTAAATCTATCCCACATTTTTCTTCTCTTACGGAGAAGGATGTGAACCTCCCTACTGAACCATGGTGGGGAGTTTCTCGGCCAAAGCTTCTTTTATTCACCACAAAACCATTTGAACTTCAATGCACTTAGGCTTCTGGGCAATTAATCTAGTAATATTGAATTACTTCTGTTCGCAGCGCAAATTTGATTTCCGTGCATTTGCCAAGGTCGTTTGGTTGTGGCGTTTCGAGTATATCCAATGGATATGCTCTAACGTCTTACGGGGGTTGTCTAGCTGCTAAGTAAATGAAGTAGGTTTGCACTATGCATAAAGCATTGAATAAAACCTAAATGTTGTTAATTTTGACGAAGGTTTCACTGAACCAATATCGTCTTTGTAAGGAAAATGTCAGATGTTTGACGTTTTTGCAATTATATGCCCAATATGATAAAAGACATGCAAACCATTGTTAAGAACACTTTGTATCACTATTAGACGTGAAACGATACTTCTCAGCTTCGCTTCTGTCATATAGGATGTTAACTCGAATCTGCATATATGTTCAGTGAAGTTTAAGATCCATGATCAGAATAAATATAGGTCAGATAGGGTGAGAGAAATAATAGTACAATTACAATTCGATCAAATGTTTAATGGAATTCTGTATTTTATGACTCATATAGAGTGTTATATACCTCAGTGGACGTCCTTCAATGTTCACGTTTTTGAAATCCGAATTTCACTGCATGCAGATCTGCATGAAATGAATCCTACATTTGTTTTTTCCCAAAGAAAATTCCCAATTTGTAACTTCGTTTGATACATTTTATGAGGGTTGTTCCAGTCAGTCTTAATAGGCTAAAATAGCTCTAATTATAGACGTTATCAGATAATACAATGCTCACTGGTGCTGATGTACGTACGAAAAAAGTGTCGTTACTGTGTTGACAAATAACTAGTATTCAGACTTATTTACAGTGTGTTAATGGGGTTATTGATGTTTACTAGTCATCGACTGGGGAATTATACTCTCGAAAGGAATTCACATTCGACAACTCTATCAGTATGCTTATCTGTCCGTCTTTTGTAGTCGGAGTGTATCTCTGTTACTTTGTAATCAATAAGTGTTAAGGTATTTCCGTTGGTCAGTTACACATATGGTCATCCTGAAGCATGGCTCAGTTGTTCCGTACAGTCCCCATTTAAGTATACCTCTTGTTTGGTTGGATGTATCGTAGTCTTGACAACAATGAATTTGAAGCAAATAACAAGTCATTCGCCACCCTGAACAAAGCTCACAATTTGGTTGAAACTTTATCTTCGCCACTACAATTTTGTTACAGTTAATTTTACTTTCGCTACCAAACCGAATATTATGTTGTCGACTTCTTCCTGATGTCCAACTGGTGCTAGGGGTGCTAGGGTTCACAAAATACGGCTCCAAATCTTCTGAAACCAAGCTTAAAAGCACGCTTTAGCTGTTAGGATTCAAACACTGCGTCAAATTCAGTAGCAGGCATCACAAGCTAAGACCCTAAAATCCTTCTATTGATCTATCTCAACCAGTATAGATAACCAGCGAAATATGCACATTATTCATCTGGAGGCGCAAAAGCAGTTGATCCTGGTCTTGCTGATTTACGTGAGGCACTAATTTAGGCAGCACAACAGGCTCTCGTGGATTGGATTTCTGCTGACAGTTACTTATGTACTGTCCGTCTCAGCACAATGGTACAGTAGGGATTCGGAAAAACAGACAGATCACTCTCTCTTCGTCGTTTCCGCCTATACCTCCACTATCTGCACCTCGACTGGAATAAAAGACTTACTTTCCAATATGCTTCCTTATCTTCAACAAACCAGGTGCTCAGACATAGTATTCGTAGGAGGCGTATTTACAGTCCAAGTCAAATCAAAGAACACTTAGGTGGGTCTTTTGGCATCCCAACCTAAGTTATGGGTAAAAGTGACCGTCCCTTTCACTTATACTCAGATAATCAACTATTCTTAGCAAGGAAAAGCTTTAAGCATAAGCTGAAACATTTGTTTACCAAGCATCTTCATCTGCTCAACAGTGGACACGTGGTTCATAACGCGATCAACTCTCTGAAGGGGTCCGTTAGAAGAGACTAACTCTTAAAGAGCCATAACTCATCAGGTCCGGATGATATACCTCCAGTTGTTTCTAAGAATAGTGGCGAACTTCTGATCAGGGAAGTGAAAACGTTGTTTGCAAAGTTTGGGGATAAAAAAGTGTCTTACCATCATAGAATAAAGTGGTAGTTGTTCTAATCCTTAAAGTGCTTACGTCACCTATGCAAAAACTATCAGGGGATAAATATACTTTCGATTACTTCCAAAATATTGACTTGCATCATACATCTCAGATTATTCAAGTCCATGAATGATTAACTTGCGAGTAGCAGGCTGGTTTTCCATTTGGTCGAGGATATATTAATCATATATTCACCCTCCACTAATTGTTAGGGGCACCTTCTGTGATAGTTTAATCGCTAACAGCAACATATTATTGCTTAGAGAATTGTCATTAGGGCTGGTAGTTCTTAAAATGTCTATAATGTGAAGATGAGTTCCATCATAAACTGACTGAAGTTAAGGAACCACTAAAATTCTAATAGTTGAGAAACCTTATTTATGTTCAATCATATGACTTCTAATATTGATTCCCAATAGGAAGTTTCTTTTTAGATAGGTCGTGTTAAAAAATATTAACTTGCATAAAAAAATAGTAGTTAGCTTTGAACAGCTACTCATATAAAGTGTTTTTGTTACACTTAAGCTTGATTATTTAAAAAGTGAGAGTGAATATTTATTGACCAAATTTTAACTCAATGTATTGGTAAAACCTTTATAGTGAAGATGCGGATGTTGTATCATGACTAAAGCAGGTAGGTCTAAAATCCACTCTATTTACTGTGATTTAGATATTTTGGTAGTATCATTAGCTTTTGGAAATCAATATGACTAAAAGCCGATAACATGCATCTGAACTTGATGAGTTATGTATTAATATATCATTAGACCTTGGTTATTAGTTACTTCGGATTTTATTGAGAAACTTATTTGAGCATCATAATTTGCTAGTTAAGCAAATGCACATATTTAGATTAGAAAATGATTACTATTACTTCTATCACGATATGTGTACCCTAAAAGTGTACAATAAGAATAAACTTCTCTATTTTTTGGTCAGTTTATATTTAAATCTTTTTCTTGAGCGAATTAACCACATTATCTTTGTGTTCATGCCATTAGTGTTCGTAGCTTAGTAGTTTCAGATTCACAATGTTGTACAACGTTTGTGTAAGGATTAGGGATTTCGCAACAACTGGATCTCATGGACAAATGCATACATTGTTGCCTTGTTACATCTAATGATTTACGTTTATTATATGTAATTCCAACGGGAAGTTTATTTGTTTCATTATTATCATTACTACTATAATATAATTTCATTAAGCTCCTCCAGTGATGGATTTTGATGAATTTCGCTGATCGAGTATGAATACCCAAGCGGATCTTTGCGCCGACTGTAGTACATCGTCCCCAAAATGGGCGTCTGTCAATAGAGGTGTACTCTTATGTGATGATTGTAGTTCCATTCACCGACAGCTAGGAAGACATATAAGCCAGGTTTGTTCTTTCTACGGTTGGTCTTAATTAATATATAGGTTAAACATCTTGAGAAGTCACGCTGGAGGCCGTCACAACTTTCTATGGTACGCTATTTGGCGTCTGCTGGTGCAAATGGGTATTGGGAACATGTACTGTACGAACCTATGCTTGCTGGGTTAAATTCAGATAATCGATCCAGCAAAGCCTTTCATCCTCATAAAAAACCTTTACCTACTGACCCAGTGCATCCAACCAAAGCTGATTTTATACGTGAGAAGTATTTGTTTTTGGGATTTTTTAAGAAACCACGAAACGTTAACCATGATGATTTAAACCAGCAACTCCATGCTAGTGTAAGGACAGGAGTTTTAGAGACTAGTCTGTATTTACTTGCTTTGGTAAGTAGTTGGTCTATTTTTCAAACGAAATTCTTGATTTAAGTTGTTTTATTCAAGTGTGTTTATCCGCTTATGTGATTCTTTTTTTTCAGTTGCGTTGCCAGGTTAGCTGTGGAACAGCGATCCATAGCGACTGTGACAATTGAGAATTGTTGCTCGTCTATGATTAGTCTTAACATTAAATGTAGCTTGAAATAATAATGGATTATAGGTGGTAGATTTATTGATAGGGGTAATGTGAAGTCGACTGCATCTGCATGTTAGGCGGTTGGATGTTATTGATATCAGTACTTGAAAACTTCAACATTGGTTGCAACTCAGTGATTAGTAAAGGTAAATGTATATTACGATGCAATGATTCATCAGTGCAAATTGTCGCAGTCTCAGAACGCACCTATAAACTTTATTTTCCATAGCCTTTATTAGCATGATATGCTAGTCTGGCATTTGTCTGTGATGATTTGATTCCCCGATTATCAGCTGTTAAATCTCAGACTCAGTTTCACTCTGAACAGCTGGGTAGTGTTCTTACCTGTAAGATAACAAATATGACTCATAACATAGTGGGAAATATTGTAATTGTAATCTGGGATGCAACATTTTTAATCATTAGTTCAATAACCATTTCCCTGTTGAATGATGTATTAGCCAATTATGAAAATTCAGCAACAGGTATTATAAAAAGCCAGGAATTTTCGATGTCCCAGGTTCGCTGGTTAATTTCAATTGTTCTTCACTCAGAAACAATGTTGTTAATTCCTGCGCTCCTATGTTTCCTTTATATTTCCTTTATATTTCAAGAAACTGTAGTTTTCACCTTTCTATTGGAAATATTTAGGGTGCAAATCCAAATTTTCTTCATCCAATCAAAGGCACAGCACCTATTCATGTTGCATGTCAATATGGTCAAATTGGTCAGGTAGAATTGCTGTTAGCTTATGGGGCAGATGTTTGTATTCGTGATTCATCTGGAAAAACTGTAATTGATGTAAGTTCTTAAAAAACTGTTCTGAGATTGTTTTATTACTAGGCGTATCAACCGTTTATTTATGTGCTAATGAGATTCACTCATCTGGTTTTATTTTAACTTCTAGACTCTGATAGAAGGTATTTAATCATACAAAATGAATACGTCTTAGTAAGATCGATACCGAGCATCAGATGTCTAGTTTGAAAAGGCTCAACTAAGTCATGCACTTTCTTGATTTGAATTTTTTGCTATAAATTTATTGAACGTCAGCACCCGGGCAGTATCAGCCCACTTACAAATCAATGGACTTGTGTAGTGTATATGTATTCGGTGCCTCTTTGTACCAATATTTTTGTTCAAATAAAAAAATAAAGTAAAATAAAAAAAAACAAATAAATACCTTAAAATACATGATCGTCTGGTCAAATTGAAAGTCAAGACTGATGTATATATTATTGAACTAGTTTGCATGGGATAAGCAATCTCTAAATTTATTTATCATTTCTTGGTCTAGGCTATTCGAAACTCAATTTTCGATTATGTCCGAACTTTTGAATTAAGTTTCATAACTTTCTACCTCTATATCAGCATAATAATAATAGTTAAAAATACATTTCAGTTTCATCCCACTATTTATTATCTGTGCCAACCAGTAATCCGAACAAAAAAGGTTGAGGAGGTTGGATTGAAGAAAACGGGAATGTAATAAAAAGGAATGCAGGAGCGATGAAGCTTGCAAGAGACAATTGATAGGACATGTGCAAATGAAGCGTTAAATGTGTGGTTTTGATATTTTACGTAGATACTCTGTAATGTATCAAATAATAAATTGGTCATCCCTACTTAACTTTTTCGTTCACTATAACACTATATATATCCGTTCTTTCTCACAAGTTTGCCAGCACTCAAAAAGAATTCAATAGGACTAGGCGTAGATCTCAAACTCCAGTTAGTATCTCAGTCAGCTCAGTTTTTAAAACTGGACCATCATCCTTAAAGTCCTCCTGGGTCAATCTTTCGGGTCTTGTTTTGCATCTCTTCAGGTTGGATATGGCCTTTTTAGCCACACTAAGATCCGGGAGACTTGTATCAATTTCCCATGTAAGCTGTTAAATGATAGCGGGGTAACTGGAAGGTAAGTGGAGGCAATTTGAACTTTCCCTTCAAGTGTTCTGTCAATAGATTAAATCATGTGGACTATGAGTGAATAATGGTCCCGTTGTCTACCGAAGCACCTTGACTAACAGCCAGATTCTTAATGCCTGCCTCCTTAATAAGTCGAAATCGTTGTCTACTATTGCTTATCCCTTCAGTTATATTAATACTCTTGACTTCTTATTAAAACTTCGTGACAGGATACCTTTGGAAGCTTGGCGAAAATAAAATGATAAGTTAACGTAATATTTAAGGATAGTCTTTCAATCAATGTCAGTTTGTGACAGAAATTACCTTTTTAAATTCTCTGAAGTTTCCATACATGGAAAACCTATCCAAAGAAATATTTGATCTTATAATCATCTAGATACCTTACACATTTGTATATTCATATTTAGATATAGAAATATATACACACTATACATTTCATCATCGTTAATGTGATGTAAATCTATCTATTAATGAAAGTGCGTGTGTATTATTTCATGGGAGTGTAGTCTAACTAACCTATCATGAGGAAATTCACCAATTTCCTTATTGATCAGATAACAACATAGAGGGAAACTGCTTTCTTTCTTTCTTTTTTTAATCAAAGATAAACTATCCCACCATTTTGAATGACATTTAGTACATCATTTGTTTATTTGAAAACAAATATTGGTACAAAGAGGCACCAAATATGCGCTACGTGATAACAGTGAGAATGTGAAGAGATAGAGAATGTAAAGCGCGCATAAGAAAAAGGGGGACAATAACGAACAGAAATTAGTGTATGGTTGTGAAATAATAATAATGAGAGGGGTAGTTCAGTTAGCAGAGGTACAACCAGAAAGAATTCTTTCAGTGAAATAATTCCCTCTAACTTTCAAAGAGAAAGTAAAAGAAAGTTACGACAGGAACGCCACTGGCTTCTATTCTGAGCCATATCTGATAAAGTCTCAAGCCAACGTGTTGCACTATCTCTAGGACCCCAATCAGGCAGTCATGAAGGACCGACATATGCTAGTCCTATACAATTTCCTATCATACCGCGACACCATGGTCACACACTGACTACCTCTTCACTTTTCCAACCAGTTACAGTATCAGCAAATAACGCGCGATGTGGGATCCTCTGGAACGACATTCCTGGTACATATCCAAGCCACCGAAGTCGGTGTTTTAATGTGGTGACACCAAAATGAACTGTCGTCACTGTTTCCGAACGCATGGTGCATGTCACCGAACTGAGCACTTTTGAAGTGCGAAGCATATACCATACCTACAAACACTGATTGCCAGCTCATTAAATGCGGATTGCATGGCTTAGGTATTATCGCACAGCAAAACAATATCATCTACACGCTCAAGATCGAGAAGTATTTCTCCAGGCAGCAGATCTACACCGCCACTACTTACATCTAATCAGGGCTGTTTCCATAACATCGATAGCAAAGTGTGAAACCACTGCTTGAATGGAACAATTGAGAAAGGTGGTTGTATGCTCCCACTCTATCTGAGGTATTTGTAAATAGGACTTTCAAGATTTTGATGAGACACACCCTTCTTCAATATACAATTCCAGAGAACAGTCCTGTCCGACGAATCGGAGACAGCCCTGATGTCAAGAAACATTACGATTGTTGGTTTTTAGTAAATATGACGGTGTTCTAACATTTGGCGGAGGGTGAAGATATGAATGAAGACCAACCTGCTCATCGCGAATCAATCTCTCTGGGTTTTGAACAACCCACGAAGAATAACAGAAGCCAATAGTTTGGACGCGATCGGAAGTAGATTTATTCTTCGATAGTTCTTGTATAGGTGACGTGAATGCTTTTTAAAAATAGGGACGATTATCGACTCATTCCATGATGTTAGAACACTCTCCAACTGTCAAACCTTTGTAAACAACACAGTCACTTCCTTAAAGAAATAAGCTTTTTTCTTGAGAATACTATGGACAGTTCAGTCGCATGTCACCACTCGCTTCGGCGGTACATATACTAAAAATGGAACGATACAGAGAAGATTAGCATGGCCCCTGCGCAAAATCGTGGAGCGTTCCATATTTTCTAAACTCCATTCTCACCTCCCAAATCCACACTACCTGTCATCACAACCACTCGGTGTGGTGGTTGATGCCACAGAGTTTACTCACTCTCCATCCTCCCTGATTCACCAACAGTAGGCTACACGTTCAATTCTCAGAGTGACCGCAGACTGACGAGTGGTGATCAGTGAGTGGGTGGTGACATGTGACTATTGACAGTTAAAGGAGATCTACTAAAACAGATTAGTATCGGTTTCAGATTATTTACGTATATTAGCGTATATACCAAAAAGTGCTTGAAACAATATTTCATACATGAAAGGATTGCAATTATATCCTACAAATAGTTGAGTGTTATTGACAGGAACTAGTTTAATTAGCGATCATAATCTTAGGTCTCTATTAGATGAGTTTACAGTGACTCTAATATAAAATTTGATTAATAATGTGATGTGGACTGGGTAATCCCACTGGACAGTTTACTCTTCTATGGAACTAATCAGCATGAATTTTTTAATCACTTTTTCATCATAATTGTTAATTAAAATGTACATAAATACTTTTTAAAAATAATAATTGATCACAATTACGGGCTATCTATTTTCTGATATTCTTGCCACTTGGTGAGATAAAGTAATGCGGATAACAGTCGTCGTTTTTCTCAAAACGGCAACAAGATATCTGCTATACTCTAATTTTGATCTCGCTGTATGATCTTAAATGTTTTCTGCAAATTCAAAGGGCTCAATGTGAAAGGGTTCATCGAAAGATTTGGTATGATCGAAATAAAAGTCAATTTTTCGATTGATTTACTCATGATGAGTTTTGTTCTAGATTACTTCCGTTTTGATTCAGTGTAATGATTACTCAATGTAGTATTTGTTTTCTTTTCTCGTATGATATTTTATTCTGTATAATATACGATATTCTTGTATTCCATTGACATGAAATATGCTTAGTAAGTGATTTGTTATAACTCTAAGCATTTTTCATACATGTGATTACATTCTAATTATTAATCAAAATGGGTGTACAATCAATATATAAATGAATGTATTTTCTTTGTGTTCTTACTTTCGCGTCGTGGGAATCGCAGAAGTCCCTCGTTCCGAGTATAAGTGATAAGCGTTTCCGACATAACAATCAGCGACGACCAGATACAAAAAGTAGCATTAAAAGAGCTAAGACAAGCATTCAAACGACAAGTTCTTTCTACCTGCTTATTTATACTGTGAATTAAGTATTTATCATCAAAATAAATGATGAATCCTATTTAGGTTGAATACCGAGAACACTCTGAATAAAATTTCTAGAGCTTCATTCATCCCAAGTTATAGTTTATTCGCAATATTGTTTTCTGGAAGTTGTTCAGTTGATTAGACGATAGAATGCATGCCCTTCATGGTCTTTCCCAATATCGGTGTCTACATTTGATTTAAATGTTTGGTCACTTGAAATTTAAACTACGAACATCTCAAGGATGCACATTATTGATAAACTTGACAATACGATGTTATCAGCAAACCCCATGAATTATTTTATTTTCGATTTGTCATTATTATTGTTTGACTAGTATACTCTCCACTAACGAGAGTAAATTTGTCTTTTGTGGTTTGATATTTAAAGGTTCATTGGTTAATCGGTTGAACTCATTATGTATATAAATAAAACTTGCCAAGTAGAAATAATTGTTGCTATGGACTCTAACTCACTGCTTCAAATCACCCTATTTTATGAATAATTTTAACTCTATTTTCAATCTTTTCTTGTATTTATTCGATTTGAAATGGTTTATATTATCCCGTTGTTGATATTTTTGACTGAAATTTAATTAGTCTTGGTGGGTATGTGGGCATCCTGTGCGAATTATTTCGATATAGCTACTATAACACAAGTTGATATAGAATAGATGGAATGTAGTTAGCAGTGGGATCCAGCATTGGGTATCTGAACTCAGTAGCTAAGTGGACAACGCGACTCCGTTTTAAGTTAACGGTCTTGGGTTGGAGTTCCAGAATAAAAATCAACTATGGGATTCAGGTACATCCATCTAACAATGTAATTTGTTCCTCTTTTTAAAGAATAAGGTTTCCTTACTTTTATATGCAACACAGGATACTAATAGATGATATGATGTTCGTACACGTGACGAAGAGCTTGTCAGTTGTAGAATCAAACTTCCTTATAAATATACTCTTCATTTCTTTCTTTCTTGCTATCTCTCTCTCTCGTTCTCTTTCAGTTAGCATTAGACAAAGCATTAGCATTAAATGAATCGATTATTTCTAAAGAAAAGATGGCAACAATGTCAAATGAAGAGAGGTTACAATCTGCTTGGTCTTCTATGGTTGATGTATTAGTTTCAGCGTATTATGATTTGACAGATAGTTTAGCTTATTTTCTTACACGCCATGTACCTGATCATAAAGCAGCTGTTTTTGGTGGAATCAATAAAAATACAAATCATAGTAATGAACTATCAGTGAATAATAATAACGGTGAAATAATAACAAATGGTCATTTCTTAATTTCAACTTCATTAATACATGAGTCGAATGGTACATCATTGGCACCGAAATCAACGAATTTAAAATTGACTAATTCCTCTGGACATACTATTACTTCTACTGCTACCTCAAATGTTGAACAAGCAGATGACCAAGAAGATTGGATCATTAAAGCTAGAGGAAGATTAAATAATCTATCTAATAATGCATTTATCGTAAGTTCTTCGTTTGTTTGTTCGTTCGTTCATTCGTTTTTCTTTCAAAATGTAAAACGTTTCGTGTGCTTCATAAAAATTTTCCCAATTTATAAACTTTAATAAAAAAAGAACAAATTTCGTAGTAGAATAACACAAATTCATTTATTTCATAGATTCTCCTCAGCTGCTTAAAACCTAAAACCATTAAAACGAAGTGTACATACTTCATATATGAAATGTCTAGAATGAATTGAGTTAGAATCTGGAGATGGAATACTATTAAGAGATAATAATATGGAATAATTAACATTATTCAAACGTTCGCTTTATTCATAAGTATTCTAGGAGAGCATATAAATGGAAATTATTTTTAAACTGAAGATAGATTATATAATATAGACTAGTTGAGCAACTAGTTTAATTCGAACTTAGTTGTTGGTGTTTTTATACCAAACCAAATGCTTATTGCGATGATTAAATGTGGACAAATACCCGCTTTATTTGATCTCTGATTATCTTTACCAGTTTACATGTATGTTCCAAAGCACGTAAAATGATTGTCGACGCATGTTAATGGATGAAATAATCTAGCTGTTGTTTCTGCTTTCTTTTTTCTACTTTGATAATTATGAGCCAAATATCAGTTAGTTGTAAACAGCATCGAACCTAGTACATATTTGTTTCGCTTCAAGTTGCTATACCACAATGGGCAGTACATTAAGATAAAATTATCAAAGCAAATCCCAGGGTAGTAGAGGTAGTAAAAGTATCAGTGATACTAGAAAACATTGTGGATAGACAGTATGACTCACGAAGAAAGAATGGATTTGTGGAATAGAAATAAAAGTTTTAAGGGAAATAATAAATATCTAGATCATTGAGAGCGGTTCTGAGTCATGTCACCTAACGCCTCCAGCCACTGGTCACAATAATCTCATGGATCATAATCAGGTCGTCTACACATACATATACAACTGAGTCCGATAGTCAATAACTCTATAGACTGATACCACTTCTTAGTTTAAGCATTTTTTGAAATAAGTTTTCCGAATTGTTAGTAAGCAACGATGGAATCATATTAATAAAATTGTCTTAGATGCCTTACTCTTACGTTGGACATCTGTGCGATCAAGGTTAGACATTTCAATTATCACTAGTCATAATTATGAGGCTGTGTATTACATTTGTGAGGAAATGTGTTCAAATCGTTACACTAAATAGAACCATTATCCAACGCCTCATAGAGTGTTAACTACATAAATATTCGCACTCTTTCACTATTGCACTGAAGTGTTTTTTAGCTATGTATTTTCTACTCCAAAATATTAGTGTGAGCTGTGAATACACTCCTTAGTTTTATGTATTAAAGAAGTTAGGAAGTTTCTCCCCAATTTACTTATATTCATGTTTTGATAACCTTGGACTGGATTGGTCTTTTGTAACTAGAATCTGGTGAATTATTATAGGGAATGAAGAACTCAGACAGGGAAAGACCAATTTATTAGTTAATGCAAGGTTACAGAATGTCCTGGTAAAATACGAAAATCATACATTAAATACTTCATTTGCACATCTATCAGTTGTCTCTTACAAAACTTCATCATTTCTTCCTTCCTTTAATTATTACATCGGAAGTTTTTAGGGTCACCTTACAATAAGGGCTCTATTATTGAATAACGATAATTCAAATTTATGTGATAACGAGTGTTAGTAAGTATAAAGTTTACAACTACTAGCTTATTATTATCTTCATCTCCCGGAAATAAGCATACAAGTTGATATTATCATAGCTCAAGTAGTTTGATAAATAACGCGTTGATATTTGAAACAATAAGTACTGGGTTCGTGTCTTATCGTGAACAGCAATATTAGAATACAAGTACATCCATCTGACAGGATCGGAAAACAGGATGAAATACGCTTCCTGACCTTCATTGCTAACCATTCCAACTCTGTGATACACTATATAACATTAAATCATCCTCTCAAAGAATAATCCGTGTATCAACATAGTCTACTTACTTACTTACTTACTTACGTCTGTTACCCCTCATGGAGCGGCGCTTGCTTCTTGATGCAGTTTGTTGATTTACTCAATTTATATCCTATCCACTCCCAGCATCTTTTCCCAATTTCCTCCTTATCTGGAACCTGGTTTGTTTTCTCGCACAGGTAGTTTCAGCTCCTTAGAGTAGAACTGTCTTGACGTTCGTATTGAAGAATCTCAATTTGATATTGGTTGACAGTTCCAAATGTTCTTTAAATGTAGAAATACTGACCTTGCTTTGCTTATCCTTGCCTTTACATCTTCATTGGATCCTTTTTGTTAGTCAGTAATGCTGACAATAATATATATATCTTCCTAACGTTATGTAATTTATGAAATAAAAGGCAAGATTGCTTATTTGAAAGTCAACAGTATACATAACTACCTCAATTTCATACTTTATATCGCGGACTCATCTTAGTTAGACAATCATCCAAAACCAGGGAGCATTGGTCAGCTGTTATGTCTTAGTAGGGAACTCCTCAGAATTACACATCCATGTCGTTTCACCGTTTATCGAGCCCAGGATATTTAGGTGTCGTATTAAGCGCTTATCCTCCTAACTTCAATCAGTTTGCGTTACCTGGTCTGTAGCGACAACTGAAGGTCCTGGGTTCGATAAACAGTGCGAGGACATGGATGTACACTTCTGAGGAGTTCCATACTAAGACATAACAGCTGACCAATGCTCCCTGGATTTTGATGAGTGTCAAACTGATATCATTTTGTGATGTCAGCTATAAAATTCAAAAATCTCTACAAACCCACTTTAATTATTAAGTAATCATTTAATATGTAGGTTCTTACAAATATTCGTGTTGGTTCTTGTTGGAAAGTATTTATTTATTTATTTAAACATATGAACATTTGTACCAAAAGGCTCCAAATATATGTGCTCCACACTTCGTCACTCGCTTTGTGTGAATCCTGAAATACTGCCCGTGCGCCCAAAAAGAAGCAGAAGGTTTTCTTAAGGGGCCACACTTCGAGTCTTCGATCTAAAGGTCTAATCCACAAAGCAATAGAGCGACGTGGGGAGATGCATTCCCATGGTAGCCGGGGACCAAGAATTGGTTCATATTCCATTTGTTCCCTCAGGATCCTGGAGCTCATGTGCACTATTGATGTGGAATCAGAGTTCTCTCCTAGGTGAACTCTTCGTGTCCGCCAACCCGGTTAAAGCGCCGGACACTCGATTTTCGTCTTCTCAATTTCGTAACCAAGGGACTTCATTGTCAGTGGTTGTCTACGCGTGGCCATGTGAGAGTATTCTGAGAGGGAGAGATGACTCTTCACCCTCAGTCGTACCAGGTCATTTGAGGGCTGTTAAAAAGCGTATAGAACGTAAAATCAATTATAAAGGTTGAGTTATTGTTCTTTAGATAAATTAGTTTTCATGGTTTTAATCAATTATTTCATATTTGTCGATTTGCTTAATTCTAACTTAAAGCTTTCTAGGTATTTATTAATTAATATTCTATGTTTTTGGCGTTTTTAAAAAATTTAATTAGCATACAATTAACGATATAAATAAGTCGTTCAATTTTGAAACAAAAATTTCACAAAAATAAACATCTATTGAGACTTCAGTTGTGCTTATTTTCATATTTATGACCAATCACATGAATTATAAACCGAAATAAATAGTACTTGTAATCACTTATTATGGTCTAATTGACGATATTTAGATAAAGCGGATATTTACTTGTCTTGTTTATCCAGTGAAAAAGAATAACAGTAATAAAATTCATAGAATAATTGTTAGTGAGATGTAAGTTTCTAGGTTCCACTGAAGATAAATCTATGCCAACAGAAACAACTAATCAATTGAAGTCGTTTGTATTTACAATTTGGAGAATAGACAAAACTATAAGAACAATGCTTAAATATTTACTGCTACATTTCATAATTAAAAGTTTAACTATACGAACGAGTCTATCATCAAGAAAGCATATATCGAACTGAGATGATAATTATCATTTGGATAATTATTGATTTCAGTGAAGAATTGAATTCAATCGCATATCCATTGCATAAGTGATTGGTTGTCTGAACTCAGTAGCTACGTGAATAGAACGATGCCATTTGAAGTAAACGGTGCTGGGTTGGAGTTCCGGAGTGAAAATCAACTCTGGGATTCAGGTACATCCATCTGACAAGTTCCAAACAGGACGAAATGTATGTCCTGGATTTCACTGTTAGCTACATTTTATTTGTTCTATATCCATTTGTATCTTGATGGCTTTATCTAGGTAATCCCGTATACCAACCAAGACTAAACCAATTTTAGTCAAAAATAACAGGATAACCTAAACCATTTCAAATTTGATGATAGAAACTAGTTATAAAATCGAATTTTTAAGGAATAAATTCATCGACAACTGTGTAAACGTATAGGGTACATGGGAAGTTATGTGACAAGCTAAAGAAAATACTAGATAAGGTGGTAACATTTTGATCATTCTGTGAATTATTGAAATCAATCAAAGAAAGTGTTTCATTATCCCTTCAAACTTGATAATCAAATAAATAATTCTTGCATCTATTCTAATAAACATGTAAGAATAATTCATAGTACACGTGTTTAAATTCTGATGATTACTTTCTTCTGAAATAATAATAAACATGACAAGAATGTATATTATAAACGTGAGAATCCTTTTGAGTCATCTGTAACTCTGTTTACAACCATGCCAACAATTTCTAAAGAAAGATGCGTTTAAATCTAATGGATAATTTCTATTCATGAACTATCAAACTATTTGTAGGTATCATTACCAAGGTTTGATTTGATAATTTCGAATGAATTGAGCATTGGGTAGATTGTTATGAATAAATAGCATATTCGCCACTACTTCTGAAGTAGTGACTTACACTAAGCCACGAAACGTCAGAAAATCTAATTTTTCTACTCATTGGGATATTACAAATATACTATTTATTTATATCAAACAATTTGAAAAGACATGTATTAATGATGCTTAAACAACACATATACTCTGTAATACACTCGATTTTACATTCAAAATTATTTGTTCATGTCTTCTGGTTTTTTTTAAATGACTAAAAACAGTAGAGATTTTCATAGTCTTTTTTATCGTTTACTTATGTTAATCTTAATACTTCCATTTAACCGAGTTGATTTAGTGTGGACTTACGCTGAAAAAGAAAACATGTGTTTGATCGTGATCTAGTCAAATTAAAAACTTTAATTCAATTATGTTTTTAGTGTTTCAGTCAATACCTTTATTTCTCTGTAGATGTTCCATGTTCACATGTAAATTGAATTTCATTTCACTTCTTCAGTTTTCTCCAACAAATAAACTTTCTTTTTAAATGGATGGTGATGATGTTTGAAGCGAATGGTACTGGCCTCGAGTTCCTAAGTGAACATCAAATTTGGGGTGCAGGTACATCCAGCTGAAGTGTCCCAAACAGGACGAAACATGCGTTCTAGATTCCACTGCTAGCCATCATCTCTATTTGCTTATAAATCTTGTGTATATTAAAAAAAATCAAATGATTTCTCTTATACTAATTGTAAGTTAACAAATTCAACTTTCGATCATGAAAAAGAAACCATTTTTGACAGACATTTTGGGCTAGCTGTTCTTTTTTCTATTTCTATTCATTTGATTGTAACGCAATTCGATTAAATTTTGTAATTTCCTTATGAAAAGTACGTCAAGTTCAATTCGTTATGCAAACATTCAGGAAAAAGTTTATTTTTAATTATAAGTTTAATATATAAATTTAATATCTGTAAGTAGTATTTAAATTGAAGTGAAAATGTTGTTCATACAGAAATGAAGTTAGACGATTAAATCAGTTACTGTACAACGATTTCCTTGGTAACCATTTTAAAAAAAAAATAATGAAGTACACAATAAAATACCTGGTTTATTTTTTAATGTGAATCGTGTTTTTTCCCCTTTGATTACAGGATTTATGTATTGATGTATATGATGAAGCAGATCGTCGTTTAACAAATTCATTTCTTGAAAATTTGGATACATTTAATAATCAGAAACATTTAAACAACTGTTCAGTATTCAATGGTTCTAATGTTAGCAAGACTGATGCAGACGACAACAATGACAACAATAACAACAACGTCAGCACAAAGAATGAACTACATAATAGTATAGTTAAAGAGACCAGACCTGACTCTAGACCGTCTTTACATAAAACAACAACACTACGTCAAACATCTGCAATTACTAATTTAACGCTATTTTTTCTACCTCCAAATACAACTTATTCATCAGTACGTAATCAAGCACGTCAAAAATTAGGTCGACTATCTACCATTGAATTTCATACTTTAACATTAGATGTTCTCACTGAAGCATCGATACGTTTATTGCCATTATTTTTACCATTGACCAATGTAATAAATCCGACTAGTACAGCTGTTACTGCTCCAGCTACAACGACTGTTGAAATGTCTTTCAAAAAATCACGAAAAACACACCATTCGTATACAGACTATTTTAATACAGATAAACGACAACAATTAAATGAATTTATTGTTGCACGTCGTAATGGTCCTTTACCATCGTTACCATCACCTAAGACAAAAGATAATCATATAGATGATGTTGGACGTTTACATAGTACTAATAATAGTGATGGTAGTAGTAGTCCATGTGATAATTTAAATAAACAATTGAATAATGAATGTAATGATATTTTACAAGAAACATTGATTTCAGAGAATTTACCAGATCATGAAAATTTACGATTAGAAATGTCATCCTCATCATCACCGGTGAATGCAAAAAGTGAAATTTTATTGGAGAAATTCGTTCGTCCTCGTGATGACCCTGTATATGATCAGGTAAGTGGTAATTGTAGAGAAAAATCTCGTCACTTTGTCTAATTACAGTTTTCTATTTCTATTTATTAATTTAAACCTATTGTGTTGAACATCTAACCTGAAAATAGTTAATACGTTAAAACGACAATTAAATGTTTTAATTATCAACAAATACAGAAAATTATGTTGCCGGTAAGGTTAATGAATGCTCTTAATGATGATAAACTAATCATTAATAACTCGTTTCCATATCATCTGTATTCATTCATTCACTCACTCACTAACTCACACACTCACTAATTAACTAATTAGATGAATTGTTACACTTCACAAAAGTACAGTAAAAGAAAAAAACTGATAGTTGTAATATCAAGGTTAGTGAAATTCCCCGGTACAGCCGACGGTGGGGAGGTTCTGCTCTTTCTCCAGAAATACTTATGGACACGCGTATATAGCCACTATCAGGTGAGTCATACTCACCACCTCGGGATGAGGGTGCTGTTTACGAAGTTGAGAGGACAGAAAGCGAATGTCCGCCGCCTGGATTGCGTTTGCGGCTACAGCCGATTCATCTAGGGGAGTTGAACATAGTGTAGATGGGTTCCAGGGTACTAAGGGAACGTATGGCATATGAGCCTATTATTGGTCACCGGCTATCATATGACCGCACCTTTTAACGTTGCTCCATTGCCTTGTGGATTAGACTTCTAGGTCAACTATTCTGGGAGTGGCCTCCTAAGAAAACCGCCTGCTTCGGTTTGGGGACCCAGGGAGTATCCCAGCCTACAAATAATTTTCTTCTTTTGGCGCATATATATTTTCTTGCCCTTTTGTACCGATGTTTTTGTGTTTATATACATGAAGAAATAAAACAGATAAATATGAAGACCATAGTTTGAAAAGAACGAATGCATTTACGAAACAGAACGTATGTAATGATATTGAAGATTAGTGTTTAGATGAAAATTAGGAATGAATTTATTTTGCATTATTACGATATATCCTTATTTATGCCATTTAATAACCACTTGATACAGTTTTCGTTAGTGGAAGGAAATTTACATTTATCATAAAAAATTAGATAAGTTGAGGTCAACCTAGCAATTATCGTTTGATTGTGCTTCCTTTCATTTATTCATAATGTTATCTCCTTATTTGTGTAGTACGTAGATTATCGGTGTACTACTGTATACGATTTTATATGTATTAAATTAAGTGTTATAATGAAATATCGACTTAAACAGTGTCAATTAATCATTTCTCATCTATATTTGATAAATTAGTTTTCATACAATTAACTTAAAATTATAAAGTGAATTACCTATTTAATTCTTTCTACTTTTCAAGGGTTCTCTAGCTATAGTGTGCTTTTGTTTCTTAGCGAAAGATGAACACATTCAACTTGAAAAGTTTTCTTTGAAACTAATTTACACATGATTCCTTGGAATTCTTATTGTTCAACCATTACCAGTATAGTTTTTCAAGTGCATTAAAAAATCAGATAGAACTTAGTGCTTTATCATTTTATCATTTCAACATACAAGATAAATTTTAAGATTTACACCTACCAGTTATAAATTGTAAAATTTAATATTTATCCTTATCTCTCTGATACTGTTATAACTAAGTATTTAAAATGTACTGGCTTATTGATTAAGGTGTTAAACTTTCAACTGCCAAGTCCAAGATTCAAACCCAATTCCTCTTATTTCACTTGGAGCAACCGGATAGTATCATTAACCCAAACACTTCGAGTGTAGCTCATACTCAAGTACCTGGTTAATGAGTCTGATTATATCATATGTATTCGTTAGAAGTTTTGGATTAATAAATCCAATGAATAATTCTGTTTGTTCAATCCCTTTCTAATATAGAAAGACAGATATCATCAACATAGATTTTGGCACAGATGTGTGTTGTCTAAAGTTGCTACATTGGATTAGGATAAAGAGATAAGAATAACAAAATCGTCGAAGTGATATAGTAGCAATGATATAAAGAAAGGTTCGACTTTGAAATACAGCTTGAAATGTATGCATGAAGAGAAACTGGAATTGACGATCGATAGGGAAGATGAAGAGTGAATGGATGTGAGTTATTGTGAACGATTGTCAGCTATGCCACCTAAATTACCTAACAATTGATTACAGTTATCTCATGGACGTCAACTAGGTAGTCATCATCTGCCAGAATGGCTCAGCCCAATAGTCAATGACGTGATGAACTGATACCACATTTTGTTTTAGTTGTGCCTAACATTTTTCGAACCTAGTACGTCATTAACAAGCATTGCTCGTGGACGTAGGTGGTGTTTAAGCCTACTTAACATATTTCCTAATCATTTCAGTCGATAAGTATTTACCACCTAAGAATAACACTTAAGAGAAATTTATTTCACTTTCAATGATAGAGAATCATTAATAATTTACGCATAGCTTTGTACAATTGTTTTTAAATGGTTAATGTGAAATTGTTATTTAACCATATCGATCTATTGGGACCCCACATATTAATGCTACCATTTTTAACATCGTCATCATCAGTACACATACTGTTTTTTTCTAGCGGTGTTTGTAATTATACTATTGGTGCGATTGAAGTGAATGTGTTATTCACAGGTATCATGTGTGAGTGAGAGAGAATAAGACTTATTAGACCTTTAGTAGTTGAATGAACGGCTTTGATAATTACAAGAATATGTATAAATTTTTATGCAATAGATAGTTCATTTTGTTTTGTGACTTGAACATAAGCTCCAGTGAAACATTTAATTTATTTACATTAGTCGTTTGAATCTTCCCGCTAATGTTATGGACTACAATTAAGTAATCTTTTTTATATATAGTTCACCTGTGCGGATAGCCTCGATATTGACATTAAGTTACAAGCATCTTAAGCATCGTTCAATGGCGGCTATCAGTGAAATCCAGGACGGGCGCCTGGTTCTATTAGGTATTCATCAGCTGCATGTATCGAGACTCAAACTCATTATCTCCGGCTTCAAACGCCCAACCTCACACTTTGCTAACTTTAATGTTGGGGATGCTAAATCCCCAGAAATCACTTGGTAAACTTTTTTTTTGTAATTTTATTTCGAAAATTTGAATCCCTCGCTCTTGCTTTAAAGACACACATTCTTACCTTCAGATTGTATTTCCCACTTGAAAGAACTATAAATGTCATTGGCTCGTTCCCTCTTTTAATATGCTATTTTGTGATGTTTCCCAAATACATTTTTATTCTGTATGCATATACGCTTGGATTGTGTGGTTGTCATTGTTCGTGCTTCTGTCTGCTTGTGGGATGTACCTTTCCCTTATGTGAACCATGTCTTCTCTATCTAATTAGTGCGGCTGGGACGCATCGGAATAGTTAAGCTTGTCTTGTCGTTGCGTCTCTGATCCTTCGTTCCGTTCACCGATCAGGTGATCTCATAATCTTTTCAAACATAACACTTATTTGTCGAATTTGATTATTTATTATTAGAAAATAAATTGTGTAGTTATTGTTGTATATTTTGCCTAATCAGATTGTGAATATTACTGAAAACAAAATTTAACCACTGCTAATAATAATAATGGTAACAATACTGAATCATGAATACACACTGTTAAGGTGTCTTATACATTATTATTAATGTACAATCTAACAATATCATTCAGTTTATGTTCCTCGTTTCAAATAGAAATAATTTGTAAAAAAAATAAGCATAAACTTTGGGTGTAAACAAATAATTCACATTCACACAAAACTCCCTAATGTAAGTGAACTTTCTTTGTTTGTCTTTTTATATTTTAAGAGAGTTCAGGGTAAAATATAAACTTCTGATGGACTAGAATAAAGTTTTTTGGAAGCATATATATCGTTTATAGCAAACAATGATATTGTCAATGATATTAATGAGTCATATCACTTACCTAAAATAATAATAGTACAGGGTTAGATGAGACACTAAGTAAAGAATGTCATATATTAGATACAAATTGTTGTTATTGAATATAAATATTCCTTCCTAATTGTTTTTTTTGTTTGTAAATGTTATCAGTTAAAGCTTGTGAAATAGTACTTTATTGAGTTTGCCTTCTCAGGATGTACATATATAGCAAAAATGATTGATTAATTGCAGTCCATAGTATTGAAAAAAGATAGTTTACAAATATTTAATATCTTTATACCTGTTGAACAAGTTAGTGACTATTTGGACTCACTAGCCCAATAATTAATCCGTTGGGTGTTTAAAGCAATATAAACTAGATTCAAATATTAGTGTAAGAATACACACTGGAATACCAGTGCATACAACTGACGAGTCTCAAATAAGAAGAAGCCCGCATCCTAAATCATACTGCTTGCTATGTGCTAAATACACCAAAACTTGTAACACAACGCTATTATCGAGGTAATCCGCTGATAATGCACCTATGATACTTGAAACTGATCAGTTGCAGTCTTAAATATCAAAAACGAGGAATTATAGAGGCTTACTGATGTATCAGTTAGTTTTAATGTTTATTAAAGACTAATTTTACAACTAAAGTATTTTATTATATAATTAATGTGAATTATTCACAGAATAGTGTGATTACTAGTCGAAAGTGTTAGTAATCAGTTGATTGGTTACTTATCTGATCAGAGGTTCGTTTCAACTATTAGAACCTGAGTGTTCTGTTAGTGGTATCATTCGACATTATACAATCGATAGAGCTTACTACAAACAAATAGTCTCGTCATATATGAAAACATCTTAGAAACTATCACATGGATTTTAAAACCCTTCAAAATCAGAATCAATTAAAAGGCAACACAATATCTTACACAAACTAGCAGAGGGCAAATGCAATATTCTTGTCAAAATAAATTGTATCGATTGCGACAATTACTACATTAGGTAGATCAATTCGTAATCAGTAGGGATGTCGACAAATCATATTGACCAATCAATAATATAAGGGACAGCCAATCACATGATCAAAGCTCAACAAAGCAAGACAGTCAAAAGGAATATAAAGTCAACAAGGTTGAAAACACCTCTTCAGACAGATACTCACGGTCAATCAGATAGAAGGTAACTTTAGACTTCGACAGATTGTTCTTAATTTTGAGTTTATGTAAAGCTTCTTTATGTTTCATAGTCAAAATACTCTGCAAGATTATGTTTACTATTGAGGTTTTCTATTTTCTGTTAACCCTTTATTTTCAACTTATCTTTGTTATTATACTGTTTTCTATTGTTTTCGATCTTCTGCTTTATCTGTCTCCAAATTGATTTTTACTCTTACTCGTACTCCCCTTCTTTCTCTGTGTGTGTTCTGATTTGACCAAATGTGAACCATTAACTAAGTTATTTCCCAAGTGAATATTACTTCTTGAAGTAAACTACGTGAGGTTATTTCACTTTTGTGGTTTCTAACCAATGAAAAGAACCATAAGAAATGATTGTACAATGAGTACCTTTTTGCATAAATATGGTGTATATGTATGTATGTATGTGTTCTGGAATTATCTACAATCATTAGTTTTATATTCTAGATAATATAGTGTGTAAAACTTTGTATATGATGCCACTTGATATTAGCGTAGTCGTGTTCAGTAGACCAAAGAGTAAATCAATAGCATTTAAGTAAAGAATCAATTTGAACAAAATATATCATTGATTTCGAGGTTAATGTTAAACTCCGGTTAAATTATTCAGTCTCTTGTAACATTTTCAGTCGCTTTAAAATGTAAAACACGTGATTTGACAGTTTAGCAGTTTATTTTAACAGTTAACCAGTTGGATATACTATTATATCCGAGTGTAGATTAAATTATGGGTAAATTCTGAGAATTATTTACGAAATAATATTATATATATATATATATATATTATGGGGCATTTTCTTCATGGCCGGAGTATAACAGAAGCTCCCCTGAAGCTAGTCGTTGTTGTCCAACTTGCGTCCAATGTGTTTCACTGATCCCAAGCACCTCTAGGTTGTATCTCCTCATTTCTGCAGCAATTTGGAAGACTCTCTCAGTCTCCCACACCGTACAAACATTCCATGTACCTAAATAAATGATTGCTCTGGTTGTCAGAAGGGGCATCGGCCTCGTGACTTCCGAAGGAACTCGGCTTTCATCATGAGGCGTCATAATTCTTCTAAAGGAAGACCTGACTGCCAGGGCAGTGTTTAAGTGGTTTGAATAATTTTTTCTGGTTAGCGTTTCTTTAGCGAGTTAGTTTTCTACGGGATGGGGTCGCTAATCCCATGCCCAACCCTCCTCCTTTATCCGGGCTTGGGACCGGCAGTATCCCCCGGAGGGACTCCAGGCGGAGTTAGTCATCTCTTATGTATTCTTTTATAGTGTTTGGTTGAAGTTGAGACATGACATGTTGTGCTCTCTCTTTATATATATCGTAAATTGTACCATTACCCATTTAGAAAAGTGTAGAGTCGTTTTCTTTTCCTGACATTTATTCGTCTTGCATATGTATTGTACTTTTATTATGGTACGTATATTGTGTGAATGCTGTCTCGTCAAAATAGATTTCTCATACTTTTTCAAAAACATTATCCGGTAATTTTATCATATTTTGATAAAATGAAATGAAGAATCCAGAATAATTTACTTAAGTTACACTCTGAATATAATTTCTTGTATTGATTTTTATATCTCTGCTCGAATCATTAATGACTGACAGTAAACATGAACTGACTACCCATTGTGATTAATTCGAGATTATTCTTGTTAGTGTTATTGGTTAATATAAAGTATATTGTATTATGAGTGATCTTTTTAGACAGTTGATTTGTTTAAACTGCTTTAATTCTGTTTAAATGATAGAGAAGTATCAGTTGAAGTAAAATGTTTTTAGTTTTTACATGACACTATTCGGCAATAGATGTATGGTAAAAAATCGGCCAATGAGTCTTTGGAAACTAAGGTACATTGTACTTTATTATCAAAACGTTTTCCTTTGACTCATGGTATTATTGGAGTATAGATATTCCATTTACCGTAAGTTTTCGGTTAACTCATTATTTTCTGTTATAGGATTCACTATTCCTCATTCGTTTTTAGTCTTTTACTTACAGTCTCCCCTATCCATAGCCGCTTTTGTCTTGTTTATTTGTAATTATTATTTTTCGTTATATGGTGTGATGCAGTCCGTTATTTCTGTATGTAAATCATGTCGGTTTGAAATATAAATATAGTTAGAGCTGGTCGCTGAATTTTTGACTCAAGATAGAGCATAGATAGGAGCTTACGAATAGTGGACCAATAGGGACTTAGGTGGGTTTGCTCAAGGTTACTAGTACTTGTTGGCCTTGTAATCGTTTAATTTGGGGATACTAGGCTATTAAGGAAATACTAGATGTAAAATAAACCAAATTAGAATCAGGATTCTGACTTGTTACTTGGTATGTAATATTAGTCAGCAGTCAAAAGGTATAACAAAGGAACATATGGAAGATCACAACCATCTTTTTGCAGTATCTAATAAAAGTGCGATCTTTAGAATTGTTTCGTTCTATAACCGGGCTAGTACCGCATCTATCTACTCATGTCTTTATTGAACGAGATACTGTAATGTATCCCAACTTACCGAATGAAAAAAGCTTTAAATGAAATTCTCAATGAAAATTATATTCAACTCCCATTCACTAAATGAACTAGGAAACGCTAGATATTTCACACGTATTAAAAATTGGAAAGTAGATACGCCACAAATTTACTAACATAATCCTTTACAAAATACTAGACCAGAATAAGAATTTTTTCGCCTGAAAGTTTAAATCCACGTAGATGTTATAACAAAGAAGCCACTATAATACTATATTTTTTGAATATATTTTCTAGCTTATTCTATTTAATTTCACATTTAGGTGGCTGGTGAAGGTGATTTAAATGATTTAAATATACAAACAGTTACATCTGATCGTAATATACTTTCTGTGGATATTGAAGAAAGCAGTTTAAATAATCAACAAAATATAACAGAAAATTCATCATTTAAGCATAGTAATGCTTCATTAACAGCTCCATTATCACCATCCACTGGAAGAGTAGAGTCTAGTCATCATACCCAACAAATAAGTGGTGGCAATGATGAATTAGATTCAATAGGACCAATACCTCCAATTACAAGTCGTCCAGGTCCATTGCCTGGATCACGTAGGCTACATTTATCACATACTGGTCGTATAGCTCAGCATAGAGCTAGTGTACCGACGGCTGGTACTGTCACTACTAATTCCGATGTTACTGGTTGTGGTAGTAATCCTCTCTCTCTATCCGAGTCAACAAGTAGTATCGTAAAATCATCTGATTCACCAAAAAATCTCACAGAACATTCGTTAATTAATTCTCTGAGTGCTGAAAATTCTAACGATATTCAAGATCATTCACTTCAGTCTCATGCACATCATCATCGTCATCCAGAATCTTGTTGTGTAGCTGCTCGTAATGAAGTGGAACGTTTACACAAAGAGAATATTGAATTAAAAGTACAATTATCTGATTTACAAAATAGTAAAGATATTGTAGAACAACGTTTAGAAGATTTGGAAGGACGTATAATTCAATTAGATTCTATTGTTCAAGTTTTAAAAGAGGAAAAAGTGAGTGTATATTTTTTATTCTTTTGTTTTCTAATATATTCTAAATATGTGTTACTATAAAATCATTACATAGTTCAATCATCTAATTATTAACAATATAAGCTATTATAATCAAAGCGTTTTAATGATTGTTGATTTTCACTGGCGATCTCAACTTAAACGACAATCTTATAGAAGAACTCTGGTTAAGAAAAAAATATGTATATGAACTTAATTAATTCACTTTACATTTTAGATATTTCCTTGTTACTTAGCTAAATTGATTTTAACCTGGTATAATGAGAAATCTGTAGGAATTCTTTATTTTTATTAAACTGACTATTACCTTTTAGGAAAAGAATCTTTTGTTTTTTTTGTTGTTGTTTTTCTTCCCTGCAATTTCTTTCTGGATAATTTTTTTTTCAAAAGTTAATCATAGTTATATGAACCGTTGATCAGTTTTGTTATTAGTATTATTTTTTGTATAGCATTACATTTTATGTTTAATGATACCACCTTGTAAACAATAATACTGTTCCAATGGTTTGTACTTGAGATTTAATTCTGTCACATTGATTTCATTGTCTGGAACAATGTTGGTTAAAGAGAGCAAAAAACATAGATTAGTGTAGAATAATATGAATTCATTTTATTTTGTTAAGTTCTCATGAGCTGCTTACAATCTATAATATTTACAATCAAAGTTATTACAGATATTGATATATTTATACATACGAAGGTGATTAGAAATGAATATGTGTAACGAGATGTAGTGAAAATTCAGCATCTTCCATGTTGATTATTGGTTTTGCTTTTTTTTAATAATGGTAACACATGCTCTAAAGTTTATAAACATATCCATGAATTCTATGTTTCATTTGTCAGTCTGTTTTACTTTCATGATATCCATTGTGTTTCATCATTTTTTTAGAATTCTTCTTAACAGCTTTAGTTTTTAATTTAGGAATAGGGTTTACTGGTTTAAGGGTTCTACATTCAAGTTTGAGTTTGAGCCTCTCTGTACTTATTTCAGTTTGGGTAATCGAATAGTAGTATTAATAACAACAATTAAAGTGTGATTCGGGGCCTAGGACAAAACTTTATCTAGTAAATTAGTTAATAACCGTAATAATACTATCTAAGATTATTTAGATAGGTTTAATATAGGGATAGTTTTTATTCTGAATAGATTTTAGTTGATGCACTTTTTCAGATTACAAAACATTGGACTGTTGTTTCATCCAAGTTTTGGATTTCTCCAAAGTGTGCATCCTGTTATCGATTCTACAACAACTATGTCACCGTAGTCAACATATTGTACTACATGCAGAATTCTGAGAAGATTACAACTATAAAATGATATCAAAAACAAAGTTTGATCGATGTAACAATTTTTGTTATGGATTGTTGATTTTGAAGTGACTTACTCTGAAAGGTAACCTCTAGAATTTTAGTAAGAAGTTATGAACGATAGAGTTTAACCATTTCTGATGTGAGACAAATGTTGCTACTAGCAATGGGTGACGGTTACATGATGTCATAAATTGACTAAAGTAACCAATACTAGCTGTTGGAGGACAACTCAGTGATCTGGAGTTTATATGTTCGCTGTGAGGTCTGAATGTCACTAACTCTGTTCCTTAGCGAAGTTGTGGAAGTATACTGTCGAGGTATTTCATACTAGGGAACAGCTGCCCAGTGCTTTCTAGCTTTAAATGGTCGTCTGATCAAAGTCAGTCCGTAATCTGAAGTTGCTGATAAGCTTCAAATGAGACAGAATAGTAGTAATATTCAGGTTGGGTAGAATTTAGAAAAATGTGGTATAGGACCAACAACAAAGGATTGATACACGTAAAGTGCTTGGAAAACGGCGTGATATTGGTGTTTATCTGCTGATCTTATAGGTTCAGAATGATAAAAAAATATTACTTTAAAATTACTATTTATTCTAGATATTTATTTGCTCGTTATATCAACCTTGACTACTTATATTAAAATATTTCAGTGTATTGTCCATCATATTATCTATACGTTTATGGCTAGGTCAGTTTTAATTGTCATATTTAAGTATACAACGTTTGGCTCCTAGCCCTTCTGTCCCTTCACAATTGATTGATCACTGGGTGGTGATCAACCAATTGTGAATACATCTCAGTCCTACAGGAGGTCGGTCGCGGCCCGGATAGCCTAGTGGTAACGTCTCTGACTGTGAAGATGGGTGACACGGGATCAGATCCATCAGGGAGCACCAGTTCCTTCAAGATTACAGGTACACCTTGCTGACGAGTGCCAAGTAGCACAAAACCCGGGTCCAGGGTTTCCTGCTGACTACTTTCAACCACCATCTTACCTTCTATCCCTTCTTGTATGTTCTGTTATGACCTTTACGCCTTGTTAAGTATCACGTGATAAAATCTCCAGTCACAACGCGACTTATACAATTTTAGCACTGTGACAAATCAATGAGGTCTTGAACGGGTATGTACAGCTTAGATTCCTTATTGGTCCTTCTCACCTAGCCCTGCCTGTTGAGTCCAGAACACCAACATCAGCTTCCACTATACGAATAATTTATTTATAACATACCTGGTTTATATACAAGCAAACCAGACTACACCATACCATAAAATAAAAATAGCACTTGTACAGGTTGAAGCCAAAAGTGGCTGTGTGAGAGACTGTAACTAATGGATTGGGGATGACTTAGGAATAGTAAATCGTACGATAGTAGCCAATAAATCAAATAGAAGCTTATAACAAAAGGAATATAACTGTACATATAATATAGTTATTTAATAGTTATCCAATAGGAATATATGTAATAATATTCCATAAACAAATCCTGGCAGTTACCATTCCCTTATTCTTCGTTAGGATATAAAAAGTTCGCTGTTTCATTCCCAAAATATATGACATACTACAGCTGTACAACACAGCTCCGTTTTGTAGCAGCCTCATATATTTTGCTCGGAATTTAAGGTGTATTGATAGATGATGTGTACGTTATCACTAATAAAGTGGACATTAGATATATTTAGTTCCGAAAATATTTATAACAATAAAAATGTCTATTATGCAACCAAAAGTTGATTTTTAGATAACAGTTGAGCTAAATTGCAAAACATACATGATCCTAAGTTAGATTGTCTGTTAAAGCACCTGATATGATTCAATGCACATGTTCAAGAGTGTTTTGTGAATCTAGATAATATTCTCCCTGTTTTACTCTTTAAATTTCAACCCTAAATTTCTCAAGTGTGTAAACAGAATGGTGGCAAAGCATTGCATTATAGTTGATGTCAGTTCGTGTTGAAAACCCTGACCGCTATTTGTAAATCTAACTCAAAACTTCAGTTTTACCCGTAATAACTGATCCTAACTTTTTCGCATTATTATTGATGTCAGTTGGTGACGAATACTCTATGGGGTGATAACCCTAAATTACAACACCAGCCTGACTTATAGTTCGGGTAAATATGAACTTTATTACAAGGGATAATTGGACATATTATTATTATTATTTGAACACATGAATATTGGTACAAGGGAGCGCCAATATATATGCGCCACACAAAACAATGAAAATTCGAAGAGAAGTAAAAAAAAAAAACTAAGGAGCGCAAAAGAAAAAGAGAACAATAACGAAGAGATTGGTGTAAGGTAGTGTGGTAGTAACGAGGGAAGGAAAAGGTACAATCAGAAGAAATCTTTCAGTTAAGGGAGACACAACCATTTTTTATGAAGAAAGTAAAAGAAGGTTACAGCAGGATCGCCACTGGCTTCTATTCTGAGCCATATCGGATAACGCCTCTAGCCACTGTGTTCCATCATCTCTCGGACCCCAACCAGGGAGTCGTGAAGGACCAACACAAGCCAGCCCTCTACAGCTTTCTTTCATACGACGACACCATGTCATACACTGACCACCTCTCCGTTTCTTCCAACCAGTCCCAGAGTCGGCAAATAATGCACGACGTGGAATTCTCTGGGACGACATTCGTAGAACATGTCCAAGCCACCGAATTCGGTGTTTCAAGATAGTGACACCAATTGCATTATCGTCTCTGCGCCCGAACACACGATGCCGAACCTCTGCATTACTGACATGGTGTTGCCACTGAATGTCAGCAATCCTTCGGAGACAGCGATGATCGAACACAGAGAGTCGTCTAACATTCTCAACTCGGAGAGGCCAGATTTCACAAGCAGAGAGCAGAACTGCTCTCACCAACGCGTTGTAGATCCGACCTTTTACAGCCAGACTAACATCACGAAGGCGCCAGAGGTGGCCCAGATTGGCATAAGCCGCTCTGGCTTTCACTATTCGTGCATTGATCTCATCACTCACACCCCCACCAGCACTTATGCAGCTACCCAGGTACACGAACTTCTCGACTACGTCTATCTGCTCACCATCCAGGGTGAATACAGGATTGGAATCCTGCCAGTCTTGTAGAAGTACTTTGCACTTCGAAGGTGCAAAGCACATACCATACCTGCGGACACTGATTGCCAACTGATTAAGTGCGGACTGCATGCCTTGGGCATTATCGCACAGTAAGACAATATCGTCCGCATACTCAAGGTCAAGAAGTCTTTCTCCAGGCAACAGATCCACACCACCATTACTTACATTCATCAGAGCTGTTTCCAGAATGTCATTGATGGCAAAGTTGAGGAGGAATGGTGAGATTGAGCAACCCTGTCTAACCCCACTGCTCGAATAGAACAATGGAGAAAGGTGGTTGTATGCCCTCACTCTGCCTGAGGTGTTTTTATATAGGGCTTTTAGGATGTTAATAAACTTCTCAGGCACACCCTTCTTCAATAGACAATCCCAGAGAACAGTCCTGTCCAACGAATCGAAGGCAGCCCTGATGTCAAGAAACACTACGATTGTTGGCCTTTGATAAGTATGACGGTGTTCTAACATTTGGCGGAGGGTGAAGATATGATCAATACATCCTCGACCAGAACGAAACACAGCCTGCTCCTCGCGAGTCAATCTTTCTCGGGTTTTG